CTGGGTTTCCGTACATCAAAGTGGCTCAAAGAAAATTGTAGACTGGTATTGTTACCTTAGGGTAAGCCATATCAAACTTCCTCTGAGCTGGAGTGAGATCTGTAGTGCTGCATTTGGATAGCCAAGGCGCCCAGGCAAGTGTTAGATTTAGGAAGGTCTGATGTTTCATGAGGAACTTCTGGAATCACTGCTTGTCATCCATCAACACAAGCAGAGGTGTATTTCCCCCTTGCTGAGCTAGAACTGGTATTTGGCAGCTGGAATTTGTGCAGCTGGAGCTGTTTCTCATAATTTCTCTGTATCTATTTTCCTTTATCCAGTTCCACATTGTTGTCTGGAACAAAAACCCTTCAAATGCCTCTTTTCTGATCCCTAATAGCAAAACTTTCTGGGGTCAGGACTGCTTTTGAGATAATTGGAATACTTATTGGCCTGGAGTTTCAGGTCCCAGTGTGCATGCCTTGGGCAATCATCAAAGTAGAAAAAAAAATGGTTAGGTGTAATCATTTGCATACTCAATATCAAACTTAATTTTCCATCCTTGTGTGGGTATATCCACAGTTAAGGAAAGAGGCTTCACATATCAGCTCTGTATATTTGACGTGAAAATCATGGAGGCAAACCCCCAGTCTCTCAATGAATTTTTTTTGTGTGTGTACCCAAAAAAATGCCTATGTTTTTTTTTCATGTGGCCAAAGAAAGCATGTTATATAATTCTTTTTCTTTTCTACTAATTTATCTGGAAGTATAGGTGATATGTTTTTCCAGGATTTTGATATCTGCAGAAATAAGAATATCATAGTTTGTTTATGATAGAATCAGTCACTGTGAAATAACTTTCAGAGACCAACTGAATCTTTTGTTTGGACTTAATCACAAAACCAGGACTGTTGCCAGCCAAATCACTCCATTTTAGAGCATAAAAGTTTGACTCAAAAATTATGCTTGCTTTCTCTTCCCTAAATAATATCAAGAACAGCTATGGTACAGAATACACGTGAATAGCTGTAAAATACGGTCTGGGAGTGCTTTGTCATCCAAGCAAATGTATTAGAAACATAGCACAAACCTTATTTTAAAGGAAATCCACATAGTTAGTGCATGAAAGTTCACAGAAAAATCACCATTGTTGAATAATCATGCAGTTATGACTGATACATATTTGCACATGTGGTATAAGATTAATATTTCTAACATTCAGTCTAGACTTTAAACGTTATTCTGTTTTTTCAGTTCTTTTTTTCCCTGTTGATGTCACTCTAAAGCAGAATTACAAACACCATTTTTCTGAATTTTTTACATTGTTTCTTAAATGTATTTTCAGAGACAACGATCTTTGTCAGAAAACAGAAAGAGGGAGCTCTTGGAAAGAACAATTGTGGAGCTTGTTGAATTTATTTCTCCTAAAACACCCAAACCCGGAGAATATGGTGGAAGGACATCAGGTTCAATGGCTTGGCGAGTAGCCAGAGGTGAAATTGGTCCAGAGGTATTTAACTTTTGCACTGGTGACCATCTTAGGGGTAGCTAACTAGAGGTTCTATGATTATGGTCTGCAGAGGAATCACGCTTCATGGTAGGTAGCCTACAGATTTAGTTCAAACAGTGAAACTTGCAAAAACATTACGTGCAAGTTTGATGGGAATTCAGCAGAGGTCCACAAGTAATTTTTGAGGATTGATAGTGGTCCATTGATTCTAAAAATGTTTGGGAATCTTTGATCTACAGTGTGTTTTGCTTGTACAAGTTAATAAAAATTTTTTTTTTCCTTTTAATTAGTTGCAGCGTGACAGAACTAGAAAGTTTAAGGCAGTTGGTAAAACCTTAAAAATATTTATTTGTATTATTAGTTACTATTGGTTAAAGCCTGGAAGTAGGTTTTGACCATCTATTTTTGTTAATAAAATGACGTGGGAGTAATTAGGATTATGTAAATGGCACAATCTCTTAAATAATAAGCTTCATTGATTTTCATATCAGTGTGTTTGACTGTTTCTGAAAGCAAGATTTTATTTTTAATTATTTTATGCTGAGATACAGTTTCCCAGAACCATAGCCATAGTTAGCTTGAGCCAGCATGCAAAGGTGTGACTTAGCCCATCACTTGTTACATCAATTTTGTAGTGATGCTGTCATGTGGAATGACTGACAATCCTAAATATAATCAGTTAGGTGAAATTAATGAGTTTCATAGGATTGTTTAGGTTTGAGAAACTAATAGTTTATTTCAGTTCTCCAGAAAATTTAATTTCTGCTTTGCTGAAACTCATCAGAACAATGAAAACTCTTATTTAAAAAAAAAAGTAATAATGTGAAGCTATGAAGTTTGTATTTTAAGTTTGTTAAAGTTGGTTTGTAATCTGTCATATACAAGCACCTCACAGAATTACATTTACTATTCAAAATAACCATTTACTTATTGATTGTACAAGAAATATACTCAACGTATGAATTTTCTATTCCTAACATGTTACTCTCTTACTTTAATTTGCTAATTTTATGTTATTTTGATAATAATTACTATAATTCATATAATTACTTATGAAAGTAATTATATGAAAATTTGAAAAATAAAATTACTGCTGCCCTCTGTAAAAGGTTCAGGTCTATTGTAAAACTTTTGATTTGCAGAAATGCTTTTGTCCATAACATCTCTTAAAAATGACGGTTTTTTCAGTTGGATACAAAACTGAATTGGGAAGCCACGGCATGCTGTTTAAAAAAAACCATAATCTTGCTGAAATGTATTGGGTAATGAAGGTGGTTGTGTTTTTTGCCTTTTTCAGAAAAGAAAAGAAGTAATTTTTATTCCCTCTGAAAAAGAGAAGACATCTAAACTCTTCCACCTCACCTATAATATAGTAGAAGATAGTTATGCACGGATTTCCAATAATAATGAAAAAATAACTGGCTGGGAAACAGGTGTTTGGAAGGCAGAGTCTATTTGGAGAAAGGTTGAAACAGATTGGAAAATGGTAAGGATAGCAATTATTAGAGGTGTAAAATCTACTGTAAAAGTATGATAACTCCAGTAAACTAGAAAACTGTTGCTGATGTTTGGCATCGAAACCTCTCTCGGTGCCCATAAAATTTAGCTGATGTCAGTAAATATTACTGTTAAGCTTCAGGTAAGATTGCCAGATTTAAGAAACTGGAAATAAATTTAGCTTGTCTTTCAGAAAAGATGACCAAATTCTTGCTAAAGAACCAAATTTTTAAAAAATGGTTTACTACTTATGCTTTTGATTAAATGCAAAATACTGTTTTATTGAAAAGCAGTACTTCTCTCCAAAAAAATCTTTTTTTGTTGTTTTGTTTTGGAGAATAGCTTCATAGTGTATCGTATCTCTTTGATACACAACCCAAGGAACAAGTCGTCATCCCAAATATGACAGTTCCATCTGCAAGAAGGCAAAAACCTGTCAGTTATTGGGAATATTGTATACCCTGCCCAGACTCCTTCCCATCTGTTAGGGCACTGAGCAGCAGAAGAGTCATATGCTCTAAATCTAAGAAGAGGAGAACTGATGCCTGTAAGATGGGAATGGATCACATACTGGCAAACAGCTTTTCCTGCAACAGCTACCAACTGTGGAAATGAGCATTCCTGTCAGGGATGATAACGTGTTATTGCTTTGTTCCACTGTCATTTTACTAGCCTGTATCCTGGGCCATGACAGTCTGAAAGGTCTCTGGCCAAACGTTCTTCTAGCTTAGGCAATGATTTGCGTCCCATTGATGAAAAATGGAGCTAAGTATATAACTTTTCTGGGAGTTTCTGTGCTGGGTCTGCACATAACCGACTTGCAAAATGCAACGTGGGAATAGCTTGAAGAGGTTATTCTACGTAAAAGAGAAGGAATAAGGGAAGAAACTGAAGAATATTATAAAGGATGTTACAACAGGGTAGGCTAATTTGAAAAGAGAAGTAAAAACTCAGAATGAGGGACAACTGTTCTCTGCTTCCCTAGGATCTGCTGAAACTCTGATAGCACATTAGATCTTGAAGTCTCCAGTGATCCAGTCATCCTCACTGTTGCAAGAAACATACTGTCTTTGCACTGAAACCAAACATGAGTCTGCTGTTCTGCTCAGCTCTACTAATCAGATAAAACAGGGAGGGACTGATCTATAAGACCAGGCAGAAAGACTTTACCCTTGTATTCAACAGCACCTCAATTTTTCTAGGTAAAGGATGAGAGGATGGCCTTGAGAAATTAGGAGCTACGGATCCAGGTGTATGTCAGGCTTGTGGGTAAAGCATGTTAGTTCTACAGGCATAGCATCCACAGAATGTCTGTATGTGAATTTAAAATGAATTTTTGTTGGGGGGTTGTTTGTATTATGGGAGACAGCAGAGGGAAAGGTTGTTTAGGGTTTGTAAGGTAGGGATTTTGAGTTTGATTCAGCAGCTGACCAAGAAACTTAGGAGCCAAAGACCTTCACAGAAATATTTTGTTTACCATTTGGTATGTGAGGAATGGAAAGGAATTTAAATGTAAAAGCCACAGTAAAGGTATTAGCCCAGGAGTAACAAAAGAACCATCAGTTATGTATTCTGTCTTTGCAATGTTGTTGATCAAAATTATTCGGGTAGTTGATCATCTCGGCCAATCTGATAGTAGCCATCTCCATTGTATTTGTGTCTTTTCTTGCTGTTCGATGTCACTTGACTTTATGGTGCAAGAATCAAACAAGTACAAAACACAAATTTAATCAGATTACCCAGAGATAACTTGGCAACAAATAAGGACTCAAACAAGGACACCACAGTAGGTGATAATAAGAATGTAAGAATCATAGAATGGTTTAGGTTGGAAGGCACCTTAAAGATCATCTAGTTCCAATGCCCCTGTTACGGGCAGGGACACTTCCCACTAGACCAGGTTGCTCAAAGCCCCATCCAATCTGGCCTTGAACACTTCCAGGGATGGGGCATTCACAACTTCCCTGGGCAACCTGTTCCAGTGACTCACCACCCTCAGAACGAACAATTTCTTCCTAATATCTAATCTAAATCTGCCCTCTTCCAGTTTGAAGCCATTACCCCTCATTTCATCACCGCATGCCCTTGTAAAAAGTCACTCTCCAGACTTCTTGTAGGCCCCCTTTAAGTACTGGGAGGCTGCTATGAGGTCTCTCCAGAGTCTTCTCTTCTCCAGGCTGAACACTCCCAAGTCTCTCAGCCTGTTTTCATAGGAGAGGTGCTCCAGCCATCTGATCATCTTTGTGGCCCTTCTCTGGACCTGCTCCAACAGGTCCATGTCTTTCTTATGTTGAGGGCCCCAGAGCTGGATGCAACATTCCAGATGGGGTCTCATAAGAGTAGAGAAGAGGGTGAGAATCACCTCCCTCGACCTGCTGGCCACTCTTTTGATGCAGCCCAGGATGCAGTTGGCCTTCTGGGCAGTGAGTGCACACTGCCGGGTCATGTTGAGCTTCTCATCAACAAACAGCCCCAAGTCCGTCTCCTCAGGGCTGCTCTCAAGCTGTTCCTCACCCAGCCTGTTATTTGTGCATGGGATTGAACTTGTAGATCTGAAGTCCATGAGTTTTTAAAAGTTTCTTTTCCAGAAGAGTTGCTGCAGTGGAAGAGAATTTGAATGAATCTCTTTTTTTGTCTTTTTTTTTTTTTTTCCTTTCCCTGAATTTAGACTTTTTTCAGATAATACTAGAAAAAGAGTAGCCAGGTGTGAAAGCTAGAGGCCAGTCAAAAGACACAAAAGGAAACTTTAACTTCTATTTTTCTGATTAAGTGCTTGGATGTTATAATGGAAGATGAGACAGGCTTGTGTTTTAACCATAAAAGCCTATATTTAGTGCACTTCAACCAAGTAGTAATGGAGTGTTTTGGCTTCCTTGCTCAAATATGGCCATTCAGTAGGATCTGATCAAGGAAAGTCTCTTGCCAGAGCTAACTGAGGTACTTAAAAAGATCAGCACTTTCATACATTAAGATTATTTTCACATGAAAGCAAGTTAAATTGTTACATTTTCGTAGGTAATCTTCAGTGTAACAACTCACACCTTTGGTGTTTTTTAGCTTTCTTAAACATAAGAATTAACATTTTTATGACTGGTGCATAGTAGCACTAAAATTCTGTTTTATAGTCTGTCAGTGACGTTTCTGTATTGGGGTGGGATCTTCAGTAAAACATACTGCTGTGTTTTATTATCATTTTATTCAAGGTTGTCCTTTCCAGAACAAAACCTAAAGGGCTGTCTAAGTCCATTCAGTATGACATAAATCAAAAGCCTGGACATGACAGAATTTTGATAAGTTTTCTTAACTAAAGATTATGAAATGATCATGGCAGTTTTGACTCTACTCTGTAATGTTCATTATCTTGGTTTGCCGAAAATAGATGCTAGACTTAAAAGGATCATTGAACGCTTGTTACAAAGTTCTTATGAGTGTTTGTAGTAATTTTAATGAGTGTTAACATATGAGCCTGACTGTTCAGCCAGGTGAAGTTTAGAACAGCATTGGGACTACATTAAATTATGCAAATTGCTAACAGCTCAAATAATATAAATTTTATATATGGCTAGCATGTATGATTTGCTTTAACCAAGACAAATCAAGTCCCAGGAGAAGTGGTGTGCAACCAGCAGCCACCTCTGAAGAATTCAAAATACTGATTACACAGTTTTCTTCATCAGCAATACTGAAGAACCAGAATAAAACCATGTGTGGGTCTGTGCATTTATATAAAAACCAGAAGTCTGTTTTTTTAAAATTAGTAAATAGGTATTTTTGTGGCTTAATCTTTACCAAGCATGCTGAACTAGTGAAGAACTATGAACATGTACAGTTACCTGACTGTGGAACAGACTTAAGGATTCAGACTGAGATTATCAACCTCCTGAACTTTTAAAACTGTGCATAGTACCATTTTGTATATAAAGAATGAAAGTGTGTTATCTTAGGATTTTTATGTCCTTCTTACAATGATTAATTAGATGTGTGTTGGTCTGTCTCATTTTTTGACATGCTGACTGTGTCTTCTTTCCATTTAGGTTTATTTAGCCCGAAAAGAGGGGTCATCCTCTGCTTCTATCAGCTGGAAGTTTGAGTGCAAGTCGGTTGGTCTAAAAATAGATAACATTTCAGTTAGGACAAGCAGTCAGACATTTCAGAGTGGAAGAATAAAGTGGAGACTTTGCTCTCCAACAGCAGAAATTACTCTGATAGGAGGTAAGTGTGGAATTTAAATAATGAATTATAGCATGCAGCAAAGGTGTAACTGGAAATAAATAGTTTATATGGTGAGAGCACTGTGCAGATACTAAAAATGAAATGCAAATGCATTTTGACTTTTCCAATTCAGTATTTCTTAGCAAGGTTAAGAAAATACTATGCATTTAATCAAAACTGGTACAAAACCCGGTTTTATTAATATACACAGCCCTACCTGCAACAGAGCAGGGTTAGCAAGAACACAGAATGGATACAAGATACTTGTGTGTTTTACTAGGAAGGATAGATGCTTCTATGTGCAGTGGCTTCAATCTTGACTAGGTCCTCTGAGCACGAGCGCCAAACAAAGAACTAAAAATTTGCAGCTGGTTGGGTTTTTGGGTTTTTTTTTCTGCCACTGATTGATGTGAGTTTGAGTAGTCACAACCGAGATCCTTAAACATTCATTACAAATTACCCTTTTTAACGTGCATTATATGCTGTTTGGAGCAATGCTTACTCAATTGTTTATCTTTTCCTCCAATAGATAAAAATCTTTGCTCCTATTCAGATTTTTCTGGTGCAACGGAAGTTGTGTTGGAAGCAATTCTAAATGGAGGTGATGGTGAAGCTGCATGGCAACACACACAGCTGTTTAGAGAGAACTTAACAGGATCTGGAGAAAATTGCTTGGAGATAATTATAAAACTCAGTGACCTCTGAGAACCTGAACTGAAGAGATGTTCTTTGGATTCCTTGAAGACATTATACCATGGATACAACAGGAAGATTTGGTTGGCAGTTCCTGTTCATCTTGCTGGCAGCTTATTTCCTGTTTCACTGCTTCCATTTAACCGACTTGAAACTCCTCCTGTACTGAATAGGTAAACATCACAATGAAAACCGCTTTAAAAACAAACACCAAATTAAGCGATTGAACCATTAAATACCCTTGTCTTAAACTTTATGATGAAAAGGAAGCAGATTTTAGGAAGCAAAACATGATCATAAGAGCACAGAGCAACTGTAATTTATTTTAATTTGGAGGTTTGGGGTTTGCCTGCCAGGGTGTTTCTTATAATCTGCTTCTTGGAAAAACAGTTTGAATTCCATTTTCCGATTACAACAGATGCTTGTGATGATTTTAAAATATTTTAAAGAATAATAGAAGACTTAGACATTTTAAAACAAAAATATGATTTTATGTAATAACCAAAAGAGCTGAAGTTAAGATAAATTTTGAAGCAATCTTGAAATGGTCTTGTTAGATATCTAAGTATTAAACTTGTGTTTAATACCTAGAAATGTTTGGAAATATGATGGTGTGCTAGGAAAATAAACTAATTTTGAAAGAAGTGTTCGGTATGTACTTAAAATTGTCATGACCTGTGATAGGAAATTGAGACTTAAAACTGAGTAAGAACATCAGATTTTTTTTCTATGAAAAAATAGATTATTCATCATAAATACTTTTAATTATATAAATTCAGATTTGCCCAGTTTTAAAAGATTTATTAAGCTTGTAGGTTGAAATAACTTTTTAAGCTGTTGTCTTGAGTCGCTTTGAATACTATTCCCAAATTTAATGTAATAGTATATACAATTTTTCTGTTCATTAATGCAGTGTTTAAGTTTCCATTGAATATAATAAAAACTGCCACCAGGGAGATATCAGATGTAGCAGTGCTGTGAATAAAGTATGGAGTGGATGTTCAGACTAGATACTGTTTATCAGAGAATATGAGGAAGTTTATGGCTGGATTGTACAAGAAATTTTCTATTATAGGACTATAATGCAAAGTTCAAACTATAGTTTTATTTTTAAATAAGTGAAAATTGGGGATGATGTTCTCAAGATTGGTGTTTTTAAGCTTTCTGTTCCTTTTTCTGACCCTTCCAACCACTGTATTGATTTGAAATGATTGTCAAAAATAATTTATGTTGGAATAAATGCTGACCTTTCAGCAAATCTAAGACTATTCAAATTTTATTAGGAAACTGCATATGCACACTGAGTGTAGGCATCAAAATTATGCCACAGACATCTTTAAAAAGTAGTAGATTATGGCAGCTCGGGAGTGACAGAATGATGTATGATGGATTATATACTTTGCTTCAGAATGTAAATTGACAGTTTATGAGGGGAATTAGAAAGAGATAGTCTCACTCCCTTAATAGAGAGCAACACAGTGACAGGGAACAGTATGGAAGGGTGTTCATCGACACTTGACTAATGCAAAGTGAATTTGCCAGTCTCCATTCAAAGCTCCTCTATTTAGTTTCAGCTAAATGCTAGTTGTGAGATTTCGAGTGGGAACCCAGCAGAAAAGTATTTTAGACTAATCTGTATACTATGTTGGAATAAAAAAGGCAAGAAAGGAAGCCAGTGGCACCAATCAACAAAAATGTTTCTGCTTTGTAATTTTGATAGCTGAAAATGATACTGCTTTACAACTGAAATTATTTCTTGCATTGTATTACTTAAAATAGAGGACTATGACAGATTGCAAAGCAATTTAACTGCATTTGATAATTTGAAAGCAGAAGGCAGAATAAATTTAAAAGTAGTAAGAT